GACTCTCTTTTTAGAGTGTCACATTTTATTAGATGAACATATCTATGAAATCTAGTAGCACACATTTGAAAAATCCAATTGCCCATTTACTTGTCAGTAGTAGCAGATTCCCCTCCCTCACCTGACGGAAGTTACGTGCTTATTAAGAACAGTCATCATGGAGCCAGCAACCCAGGCGCCTTATGAGCACAACTTTAAAAGAAGCATTTTCATTTAAGATGAAGCTGCAAAAGCAGGAGCCTTAAACATGAGCGGCACAAGCTCAGATGTTGCTTACTTGATTTTAGCTCTGTGCCCCCACCGCAGACATCCCCCCAGCTGCCTTCCCGCTGCAGGAGCCAGCAGTCACACTGTGGGCAGGAGCTTGCAAGAAACCAGCTGGGGGCTTGCAGGGAAAGTGCAGGGGAACTGCTGCCTCCAGTTACACTCCTTCCTCTCCCCTTCTGCACCTGCAAGCATTGCAAGTATCTGCAAGGACATGCAAAGGTCCTGGCAAAAGGTTTCAGCTCAGCTTCCTGTGCTGCACATAACCAGCAGCTCCAGCCCTGCTGGGCACCATTCACCTCCACAACGACCTCAGCATTCAGCCTGGCTCACAGCACAACAGTCCCAAACATGCAAAGCCACACACGCGCACACACACACAAAGACCGACTGCACTTTCCAAACTGCAAGCAACCAAGTTTTCAGGAACATAATGCAACTAACAACAGGCCATCTCTGAAATGCAGCTGAAGAAACCACTGTGGGTGTCTTAAAGTCTGAAGAAATGGATATTACTAATGGAATAAGCAGACAGGAAGCCCAAACAGATGGAGCGGAATGTTCTTTTCTTCCTTCTGCCAGCTAGGAAGAAAAGCAGTCTCTAGCTTGTGCGCGCACCTCAGATGTTCTCAGCCTTCCTTCAATGGCACTGACCGTGTCTCTGGCCGCTAGCTTGGAGCAGTGCCTTCTACGGAGAAAAAGCCCTATCAGAGGGCAGATTCATTCCTAGCAGGTCTAGAAACCATCCTGAAAGGAAAGGGTCATGGTCCTGCATGGTCTTTACAATTAATTAATGCAGCAACACTACTGGCAAGTGACAGGTTTTGGTCAGGGACAGAGTTTTTGATTTTCCAAATCTGCCCCATGAACTGTGCTCTAACTGCAGTTTTGGGGAACTGAGCTCAAGCCACGATCTCAGAGGAACAAAGGCGCATTTTTGTTACAGAAATAGACCATTTACATCCCATCAATACTAGATCTGTGTATTTTAGGGTAGCTGTAGAAAAACAATTCAGCAATTTAAGACTCTCTGCCAATTTTCCTTGTACAAAAAAAGTAAAGCTTAAAATACACCTCTGCTGTTAAAGGCTCTCCCAAAAGCGCATGCTGAAGCCACACACAACAATAGGTAGCTGCGCTGGTTCCAGTTACAGCAAGCATATCCGTAAAGCAATAGCTCTGCCATGTTTTTCGACTGACTGTCCTGTCATATAACAGAGTATAAGGAAGCTTAAAGGCAAATGAGATTTTTTTTAAAAACTAGGTAAGCAGACATTTCATTCATTCATTACCATGCACAGCTGGTGCGACTCCAAGGCAAATTCCTCCGTGTTGGCTATGGGAAGCTGGCCAGATTTCCATAGCAGAAGGCCTGTCCTTGCTGCCAGCCTGCTGCAAGATCCCTGCGTACTTTGATCCACCGCAGAGAACTTTTGACAAAGAATCTTCCTAATGCCCTAAATGGGGCAAGACGCACACTGGTAGCATTTGTGACAAATCAGACACTAGCAAGAATATATCAAAACATTCAAAATGGAAAAAAAAAAGAGGGTAGACAGCTTCCACATGCAGACATGAGAATAAACTTGTTCACTATTAAATTAGAGGACGCTACTTGTACATCCAACCAGAGACATTTTATGGAGGCCTATGGATGCTTTGAAAACGGAGAAGATAAATTATAGCTGATAGTGGCATTTTAGACTGTACAAAAATATTTTTGTGCAAGTTTGTCTTTATAAGTTTCCTCCATTAACAGGGCAAAAGGTAATTTTCTATTCTCAGTAACTACAGACCCCAACATGAGAAAAGGGAATGTGCCAGAAAGGGGATATTCCTAAGTAAAAGAGCAAAATATAGTTTTTCTCTGAACGAGCAGGTAAAACACTACTGCAATACAGCTGATGCTTCTCAATGCACCTCAGTGTAAGTGTAATGCTAATGAAAGCATCTTAACTGCTCCTCATCTAGGCATATACTTCATTTCTACTATTTAAAGTAGGGTAAGAACCAACTGGGAAGCTTCAGCTTACTGGAAACTTCTCGCCTCCACTGCTCCTGTCTCCCTGGACAGGACAACTTACCCCTCGAGGCAGAGAGGCACCTTCTGGCTCAGTCCTCCTTCAGCTGGTGGCCTGAGAGCTCTGGCAGTCACCTCTTCCTTGTGAGTAGAGTTGAAAAATCTCTCATCACTAGCTTTCCTCAGAGCTTAGATTTCCCCCCACAAAATGCCTCCTCCCAGTCTCTGCAGAAATCCTGGCCAGGGACATCAAAAGAAAGTCAGTACAACTAAACTGCCTCAAGCTCTGCCAGCTCTCATGTGAGCTCAGGTTTTCTCCTTTAGCCCTAGAAGCTTCAGAACTACCTTAACCCCACCAGACTGCACCCTCCCACTGTCATTAAAATAATCTGGAATAGCATATTTTATAAATTAACTAGGTATTCTATTTGGTTGGCCTGCAGAAAAGTTAGTTAAATAATCAAAATATAATGGCTGAGGGTTGTTTTAGAAAATCTCTGCACTGCAATATTTAAATGTACCATTATGTGCTTTTTAAAAGCCCAATCGGAAAAATTACATCATTTTGGATTTTCTCAGCATTTGGCATGTCAGCTCTCAATGTCTAAGAGCCCTATAAATAGACATTTGGACCACTTCAGTACAATCCTTCTATGCAGCTTTTCCATAATCCACTCAACTCTATTATTCAAATAAAGTGCAACTGGATCTTTTCTTGGGAGCCGGGATTATGCAATGCTCTGTACAGGAGGCTCCAAAAAACAGTATAAAGTCAAGTCTGAGTTCTAAAAATTTGCAGAGCAACAGTGTTCATTTATATTTATATGTTGTGTTTCCATTTCCTCACCTATCATCCATTAGCTCCTTCTGTTTCTTGACCTATCAAATGCCCCCTCTCGCTTGTCCTGGAATATCTGGAGTATAGCCAAGCACCTGAACACCAAATGTCAATGGACCAATAATGAAAATATAATTGCAGGATGATTAAAACTTCAATCTAAACTAGATTGCTGCTAGGTGCTATCATTTAAAGTTAAAATTATAAACTCCTCAACTATTGATGATATCTTGCCAGAACCCACTGAATTCTAGATTTTGTTAGAAAACAAAACTCCTATGAGATGGCTAAGTACTATGAAAATAGTTGTTCAGGACACAGAAAAAAAAATCCTAGGTTTTCTGAAAGACAACTGCAGTTAATAGGCTCCTTCAACCTTCTCATTGTAAGAGCCTTCCACTTACACGCAAGTAGAATGTATAAACAAACATGCAGAACAGCAATGAGAACTCTCAATGTAACCTTTGCAAACATACTGTGTAACACTGCTTTTATGTGTTTATTACATACATGTATCTAAATATATAATTAATTTCATTTACCACATATTTCTTTTCAGTACATGCTGACCACACCAGTTATTCAGCTAATGTGAATGACTTGGGTAAATAGCTCTGTGAAAGATCTGAGTATATATGATGTAATAAATCATACATATATATATATACACAATATATATTAGGACAGAAGATGGTTCCAGGAAAAAAAAAACATTTAGATGGATTCTCTTATTAATAAAAATGAAAATAGGACTTCTAGTCAGTGAAAGAAGAATTCCTGAAAGCAGGAATCAGCTTCCATACCACTGTTTACATTCTTTTTCCATTCTGCCTTCACCTGACTCATGAGACATTCACTGTAAGAATGAATCAAAATACCAGTTTCAGAAAATCATCTCCACAAAAACTCCACTTCTTTCTTGCCACAAAACCCAAGTTCTCTTTGGCTATGCTTGCAAATTTAAGTGCTAAAATATGGTAATGTGTTCTTGCCTCAATAAGCCAGATGAATGAATAACTGAATATGAATTTATTTAGCCAACATATTACTTAGTTCTGGCAATACAACTACATTCTTTCTCTCTACAAGGATAACCAAAAAAAAACCCAAAGGAGTCAACCTTAAAATCCAACTTGCTAAGTAAAATAAAACTTTGTGCAGATGCATCCATTGTTTAATATCAAAAGGGTGATTCGGCCTGAAGTTGTACTGAGCTGAGAAATTCTAAAACGTATATATTTCAAAAATAAATATGGCCTGAATAAGCATGCAATAGTAAGTCCTATTAAAACAATCACTTATAAGATATAACACTCAAACTAACTCTTATACTTGCAATGTACAGAATTGGAAAGATATCAATAAAGATTATGTTTATGCTATATTAATAAACAATATTATGTGTTTTTAATTACATCTTCACATATAGTATCATTTAATACAGACAAGTATGCAAATATACCAATATTGTCTAAGAAGTCCTGCCCTCCTTTAGCAGACATTAAATATGAATGACATCATAGTTCCTAAGGCCAAACACATTATACAGGCAGAACATGTTGAGTGTGTAAGCGTATCTAAGGTATTAAACTTTTCTCCAACTAAACAAGACCGATACCAAGCGGATAGGTGATAAAGAACTGCACACCTGCTCTGCTAAATAAGGCGAGAGAAGTCCATTGCACTGGATTTACCTCTCCATAGTTCATTACTCAGAATTGCATATTAGATCTAGCTTGTAAATGCTTCATATGACATCTATATGACTCTAACATCATAACCATGTCTATGTGTTTACTTTATAAGCTTTGCAGAAATGCTGATTTTACCTGAGTTTTTCTATCCACTGACTCGCAGACAGATAAATAAAGTCTGCAAGCTGCAAGCCCTATAAAAACACAAATTCACTGGACACATCTGAGTTTAACAACCGATTCCTTTCAGGACCTGTGATAATTTCAGCATCTGTTTGAAGCACAAGCAGCACCAAGTCCAGAGCTCTCCGCCACGCCTCCATCTTGGCTGCAACATTATCATAAACACTGAAATCCACTGCAGGGTCAGTGAAGGGATCAGAAGCACCTTGGACCACAACACCTCTTCTAAATTCTTTCAGTATATATGCTGAGGGAGAGCCATAGTCAGCTGCTTTTTTGAGGTGGCATTCGATTAAGGTACGTGCTTCAATCTCCGACGCTGCTTTTGCAGTGTTACACAAAATTGCTGAAAGATACTGGGTCCAGCCACTTGCTAATGCTTGAAGCACAACTGACTTGCACTCGGTCAAAGACGCTGCCAGCCAAGAAGGATTGTGAAACTCTTTCTCAGCATTTGTTCTTGCTGGCTTCAAAGACTGTTCTGCAAGCATCTGAGTGTGACTAAGGCACAAGAGCTCAACTGCACCACCACCAAGAAAAACCTTCCCTTCGTCTAAAGCATGATGCAGCCGATACACAGAAGTCCAGAACTGGTCTTCAATGAGCTGCAGCTTGGCAGCGACGGTAGTGGTGAGCACAGCCGTGAGAAGGGGAATTCCTTGCACGTCTATCCTAACTGGCACAAGCTCGCGCAGCTCCATCGCATGCCCGTCACAGGCTCTCCACACCTGCACGTGGGCCCCGCTCCCGAGGTGACGGGCATGCAGCTGAGCGAGGTACGGCACCGCCTGGGCGCCCGAGGCCTCCCCAAGCGCACGTAGCACACGGGCTTTCACAGAACCTATCACCAGGATGTTGTTTGCCATGCATCTTTCCATCAGTTTTTCACACACGTTTCCTTTGACCAAAATCAAGTTGACCTCAAAACGCGTTAGAACGTCTAACGCGCTGCACAGCCACACATCTTCTGAGGTGCCTTCCTGCAAGCTGGGTGCTTCCGATATGGTCCTCACATTATGTGGCCTATTAAAACCTAAGTGACGATACTGCTCAGTCAGGTCCCCATCCATCAGCAGGATCCTCAGGGGTTTGTCTTGAAGGTAGTTGATAATTGAGGCTTGTTCTGGGGATACTAATGTGATAAAGCCTGGGCAAACACAAGAATAACTTTCAGGCAGGCCCAGTAAACAGCATGTCACAATTTCTGTGACATTAAGCTGGGAAGACCCACCACATTCAGCTCGCCGCTGTTGATATGCAATAATGTTTTGTAGCAGTTTCAGGCTAGTCGCATTTCCGTGGCTCAGAGCCATTGCCAAATGTCCAAACCCATTACACTCACATGGATATGCTGATTGTCCTGAGAAATAACCCTCCAAATTGCCTAGCTGGCTTGAAAAATTGCATTTTGCTAGAGTGCTGAAGTATCTACTGTGACTTAATTTTTTTTTGTTGCAGCTGGATGTGATAACACCACTTCCAGAAATCACAGATTTACTTTCGTCATCCACCGGTTTGACGAGGGAAGCTACTGAACCAAAGTCTGACAAAGTTGAAACCAAACAGCTGGTACTAAAGTTACAACTATCATCTGGACAGGAATGAACGTTTCTTGGAACAGCAACTTCCTCTGATGCAGGAGCACCTTTCTGAAAACACACTTGAGGATTTAGAAAACTGTTAGAGCTAATGTAGTAAGTTTTGTTTTCAAAAATGCTTTTCCTAGCACTGCTGGAACATAGTTCTTTATTTACATCATGTATTGATAGCTCAAGACACTGAACTTTCTCACAGCAAGAGTGCAAGCCCTCTGCCATCACAGACCCTATTACTGAAACAGGCACGTTCTGCTGGAGGCACTCTAGCACAGCACTGCTCCACGCGCCGACCAGAAACAACAGGCTACTCATCCCGGTTTTAAATTCCTTGTTCTGTGCCTGAATGGTTTCATTAAGAAGCTGTCCAGTGGCACTGCTTAAATCCAAACTTTCGATGAGCCTGACTGCGGAACAAGTCAACACGCTCTGGTTGGTGCTTTCGTCCACAACAAACTTGCACGACTTCACTGGCCCCAGCAGTGTTCTTCCAGCTAACGCAAAGGCGGAAAGTTGCTCGAGTCCAACATGCCTTTTCGCAGTCACTTCCCTGAAAGCCATGGCCAGCACACAGCATCTGTGAACAAAACAAACTTATTGCCCCATCCTCGCAGTACTCCAGAGAATAAATACAAAAAATTAACAGGCTAACGCTGAACACACCCCTTTTGTGACGCACTCTGCATGAAACGGCCCTTTATCCAGCACACTCGTTATGGGACATTGATGGATGCATTTAATGAAATGATACATTGCTAGCTGCCAAGGGAAGATTTTTCCATGGCATTATAGCAAAATGCTATTAATTCCAGTGGTTTCTTAAGCATGAAGCAGTACAGATTTTACAGCACTGCCATTCCTCTCCTGGACAGCTAGCTGGAATTTCAGTCATCTTAGAGCACGAGTTTCTCAGTGCAGGAAGGAAACCTTTATGTGCAACCCCAGTCCTCACTACAGACATCTCTTGCTATCAAGTGTTATGCCATTGACTTCAGCAGTCAAATCTGGAAAGGGATAATCAACCTGATTTTATTCCAATTCTTTAACACACACCAATACCCCATTTCACATATATCAAAAGAAATGCCACTTCCTTTTGTCTCACATACAGCAAATAGCCAAGATTTTAAGGTTTTGGTCTTCTATTCAGCCAAAAAGAAACACCTTCTTTCCCTTAAAATCTTCTCCGCAAGACAGTGCTGTGGCAGACCACATGGATTAAACGCATGCTCCCTCTTTTTAGACCACATGGATTAAACTAACGCTCCCTCATCTTTTAATAATGAATCTAAATAAATTAACTAGATGAAACAGGCCAAATAATGCTCCCTGTCTAGGTTCTCTACATGTTATAAGGTTTTGGAGAGAGGGATTTCCATTTTCCAGCACTTGCTCTCCCCATGCTCTTGAGCAAGGGCTGCAGACCAGCAGCATAAGCTCTTCTCTGACTAGAAGTGTGTTTTTATTTCAATTAATAGAAAGCCAGGGCTGTTTGCAAGATAGATTAACCAGGGTTGGTGCAGGACCTTCTATGAGGCCAAGATTTTTACAGCAAACCTCAATGCAACTAACTACAAGGTGCTTAACTGAAATTTCCTCGGAAACTTCATCTGGAAAACCAAATGGACCCAAGGCTTGGCTGCAGAAACAGATGAAGGCATGGTCTGGGCTTACAGGAAAAAGTGCTTTTATTCTGCTGCTTGCACAACTTTTGGCAAGATGCGTGATCTACGATCTTGTGATATTTTTCCCCCCTTTTTCTTTTACGCATATTACTTTGGCAAGAATAACCAAATTAACATGCTGTAGGAATCAACATGAACCGGACCCAAAGCTGCACTTTGCTTTCCCACCAGCCCTTTAACTTTTCTTCCACCCGGCCTAAGGTGGAAAAGGTAAAAAGTCAGGTGGAGTTATACTTCAGAATCAAGCGAAGGCAGCAAGAGAAGGAAGACCTTGGAGACCAAATGGACAAACAAAACCAGTAGCGAAGAACAGGCATGGAGAGGACACTGACCACAGAAAGCTTCTGCAGAGTTGATGTGCACCCTCACCTACTGCTCTCTGCCTCATTACTTCTCTCTGCAGGCCAATGAGCAGAATAAAACTCACCCTTTGCCACATTTTGTTATACTTGCCCTCACAGATTTTCAGGGGGTGCTCTAGCAAACAAGAAGCATTCCAGACACTTACTACTTTGATTTACAGCACCTTAACCAGGAGAGTTAAATTGCCACAGGAAAATTCTGGATGGACTTGTTTTCCAGATGAACATCTTTGAGTAAATCTGGCATAAAATTATTCTTATTTATTTTTTTTTAGGCACAAAACACTCTGCTTACGCTCCCATCACAAAGTGCACAGGTGGCAGTCACCACTTACCTCCTCTACCTGAAAGCCAACGCTAGAGAACAAGCTTCCCGGCTTAGTGCAGCCAGAGGCAAAAGGTCGTGGTAAACGAGCTCCACATTGCTTGGAGCCGGGAGGTAGAAAGCGGGAAAAACGCAAGCAGGGAGAAGGGGGAGAACGAGGATAGCCCCCCCGTCAGCCACGGGCAGCTAGACAAAGGGGCTCCACACCGGCTGCCCCCCAGCAGGAAGCAAACGGCCAGGCCGCCTCGAGCGGGCCGCG